TCTGGTGTATTTGGGTTAAATTGGTAAGAGATTGGATCAAAGAATTTATATAGAGAAATTTGGAGAACATTTGGTTTGGAGGGTCAACGAAGCATGTGTAAATTGTATTCTCATGATATCCGAAGCTATGTCACCGTATCCAAAATAAATATCTCTAATTATATTTTATTAATGTTGAGTGTAAATCTTCCAAATGTTTTAAGTGTTAATTAACTTATTAGGAGTGAAAGATACATTTTGAACTCATTGTCGGAACTCAAATGCCAAGATATATATTAATTCAATGACCTTCAAGATATATAGACTATTATAAAGTTAAACAAATGACGGAAGACATAGTAAGTGGCTTACGACAAGGCTGATGTCAACAGATTTCTTTATTCGTTGTAAACTTATGTGACAATTAACATTGTCTTCGTATGGTTACGTTTATGGATAAATGCAAATCATTGTATGGACCATTAGATTTTAGATCATCTCTATTACGTCATGACGATGACTTGTTTTCTCTCTAACATTAAGAAAGAAGATATCAATTTGTATTTTATATTCTAGTTGAAACTTGAAAGAGATCTGCGGTTGAGAATTTAATACATGCGCATTTTCAAAAGTTTTCTGCGGTTGAGGCAAACGCACTTGGTTACTATTCTGAAAAGTTGCTAAGTAGGGTAAAAACAGAAGATGAAATTGAACACTAAAAGCTGTTTGTGTGCGACCAACAGACGTAATTTTACTAGTGTATGTTACATGCATCATGTATATTTCCTTTTTTGAAAATAAAATCTAACTAAATCAAATATTCAAGAAAATTGATCATGTTCAGTTTCACTTGTTAGGAAGTAGTTGAATTTAACAAAAAAAGCCAAGTTGATGACGTGTCAATTTTGTGGAAAAATCTAACAACCCCTTTCGTCAAAACGAAACAGCTGAGAAGTACGAAAAATACGACACAAGAGATAATGGGCCCCTCGCCGTGACAAAACAACATGACGTCTCCCTTTAACTTTACGAAACAGCAAGTCGTGCCTCTTTAGTTAATTACTTAATTACAACAACGCGTGTAATTAGGCATGTCAATTAGGATCAAAGCCCGAAGCCCGGTTCGGTCCAGCCCTTAAAAATACCGGGCTCGGACCTGAATATATAAACCCAAAAAAATCGGACCTTTCGGGCTCAACCCATTCGGGCTATTGAGTTTTTGGGCTTTAGTCCGATTGGGCTCGGACCGGCCCCGAAAGCCCAAAAATAAATATATAATTTATAAATTTAATAATAAATTTTGTTTAAAGATACTTTTTAAAGATAAATTGGTTAAAATAATTTATATATATGTAATTCGTTGGCCAAAAACTCTTATTCTACTATTTGGATTTTAGTATTTTGTTTATTTTTATTTGACAGCACTATTTATTTATAGTTATTTTAATTCATTTGACGTTTGCATTCATTTGACCACACTTTTTCTTTTAATTAAATTAGATTTCGATAAAAACATATTGGTAGTTGTTTAAATTTTGATTTATTTTGGTAAATAATATTTGTTTTTAATTTATTTTTATTTTATATATATATACGAAAAAGCCCATAAAGCCCTGTAGCCCTGTTCGGGCCGGGCCGGGCTTTGAAAAATAGGCCCGAATATTTTTCGGGTCGGGCCGGACCGAACTTATATATAGGCGGGCTTTACGGGTTTTGGGCCGGGTCGGGGCGGACTAGCTCGTTTGACATGCCTACGTGTAATTTTAAATCATTTATTACTCTACACATTTTTGGCTCTACTCAAAAAACATTTTTTTTTAATAATAATAATAGATGACGTTATAAAACGCACCCGTCGGTTATATAGTATACACGATTATACGAATAAGAGTTTTTACTTGGTCAAAATTTGAGATAAAGTTTGTTTATAATTTGATGTCACCGGGAAAATTTGCCGGAGTTTCGTCATCCCATAAAACTCCTCACCGGTAGAAAGAAAGAAAGAAAAAGACGTCTGTATCATGGTGGCGCCAGCATGACGTCACTAAATACAAAGGGTCATACGAATCTTTATAATACGTAGGCATTATATTATTTAATTTTCTTTCCAGTTCAAACCTCCTCCGTATGTAGATAAACTAGTGGAGAAATGAAGAATTGAATAGTAAGTTAACAACAAAGAATTAAATGAAAAAATAATTTAAAAATCGGTATCGATCAAATATCAGGATATTTCTTATTCTTATCCAATATATGTATCCAAGAAGTAAGAACGATACAATTAATATAAAATTGTTTAACGATATCGATAAGTTCTCTTGTCAATTAATATAATATTAATATAGACAATAGATCTTGTAGAAGTGGAACATATACTCGATGATTATGTGTATATGTAGTAAGCATGCATCAAATCACACGAATGTGAAAATTATTAATTTTAAATTCAACTTCATCAATTTTTCCGGGAAACACAGGAAAATATCAACAATCAGTCCCATTGAACATGATGAATTGTACTGACCAAAAACCCAATCCGAGTCTCAATGTATCCATTTAAAGAGTATTTTGAGGATCTACCACAATAAGGGGCAAACTGGCCATTTGTTCAACACACCGAACCTGTTCTTAACTTGACGAGGA